ATTAGCAATAGCGGCATTATTAACAAAAAAATACGCTCCAAGAACAAATATCAGAAAACCAAAAAACTGCTAGGCGCTCTTATCCTGGAGGCCATCCAAGTTGACGTCCACCCAGGACGTGAAGGTGAAGGTGAAACACGCTCTGGCAACCATCAGGTCCATTGTTCACCACAACGCGATAGCCATTCTCGAGTCCTAGTTCGCGAGCTACCTAAACAAACGTTCATGGGAAGTAATAAAAGAAACTAGGAAAGACCTAAGCAAGAGTGTCAGGAAAGTGCCAAAATGTCTGAAAGTACTTTTAAGGAAAATATGCTCTGGATTATAATATTTCCCGAAAAATAGATCGAAGAAACGAAAGATTACCTTAGCTGCTGTCAGCATGAGTTTCCCCAAAAGGGCTTGATCCTGAAACGAGATGACTCATTTCAAATTTTCATTTATGTTGTTGTGGTCTTCATTTCACAGCGACAGCTGTTTTGAGCAGAATGTAAACCTGACACACCGCCTAACTCAACCCTTTGAAAAAACTGGGATATACGGACAGAAAACATACGTCTGAAAACTTACAGATTAAAAATTACCGTATCTTCAGCCTCCTGCAGCATTGCGATCCGTTTCTTTGGTATCACCAGGAAATGTACCGGAGCCTGAGGTGAGACGTCATGAAAGGCTAGAACCTGAAGAAGAAAAACTATTTTGAATATTTCAGTTTGCCAATTTCGAATCAGTTTTTATTGTACATGTCCCCGCAAATATTAGTGAGAAAATTCCGCTTGGAAGCGTTGCTAACATGACTAAACGAAGCGGAGTAGTATTCGAACCTCTTGTTCTATACTCCAGATGCACTAGATTTCAAGAACTGAGTCAAAGTTAATTGGAAACTCGGAACGGTATTTATAGCATCGCGTCGAAACCACGCTTTCTTCGCCAGTAAAACAAACCTCATCATCCTCAAAGATGATTTTGGCTGGTATTTCTTTGCGGATGATCTTCCCGAAGATTGTGTCTTTCTCACGAACAGCCGTCTGCGCCTTCTCGACTTCCGACATCTTTGCACGTACCAAGCTGGGTAGGGCACAACTCGTTAGCGCACCTAACCTGAAAAAGCATGCAGTCATAAAAGGGGGAAGGCTAAAATTTTTGGATATCTACATCTACGCAAATCATTCCGTGCAGCTTAATGATCCCAGAGTGGATGATGAATGCTAGAACACGGCAAAAAACCACAGTAAAATAATAAATAATACGACATATTATTATATTTAACGGTGATTTAGGAAGCCAGTGGGGGCGGAAGTGGTGTAGTGGCAAGTGGCGCGCTTACCACGCGAGCGGTCCGGGGATCAAATCCTGGGTCGTGAGTCGCCCGGGCCAACCAAGCCTCCCTCCGGGGTCGGTTAATTGGTACCAGACTTGTCTGGGAGGATAAAAACACTGACTTGTACATCGGCTGGCCCCGCAAGTCATTGTATAGGCCACATCGCATTCAAACGCCACTACGAATGTACAATTGATCAACGGCAAAAGCTTTATTATTAGGAAATCGAAAAAAAAACTTAACATAAGTAGTAATTTAATATCTCTTTCATCAAAAAAGAATTGCTTTGGGAAAACATAAAAGGCTCGAGTTATCCGCGCTTTTCAATTCTTAAAGTGACCATATTCCTGCTATAGAGAAAAAAAAAACCGATGAGAAACATCAATAATTTGAGAGCTTTGTGAGAACAGGGAGCGAACAATTTAGATTGCAAAATTATTCACTGTAATTTTTTGAAGATAGTTTTTGGTATGAGAGGCAAATAGATCCAAAAAATATTTGCCAGACCAAGTCGAAAGGTTCCCAAAAGAGCTAACTTTGTGACAGAAACTGATCTACTGGCTTCAAAGTAGGGCTACTGAATAGCAATAAGACCGAACCCTCCAAAAACTCCAGGAGTGAGTTATTACCTCGAGGGAGCTCGGATTGGATATATTATCGTCAGTTGTAGTAATAAAAAAAAAATTGAAAACACGCTAGCTAAATAAAGTGCATGAGATCGAAAAATGAAAACGCACATTCCGGCTAACAAAATCCCCCACCTAAACGAGGGGAGTCCTGAGCCTGCAAGTCGTGAGCACGTCGTCTTAAAGAGCACCTTTGGAAATAGACGGATTAGCATTTGCCCATCAATCGTTTCGGGTTCAACACCTTGAAACAGGAAAACTGACTATCTTTTGTGAAGTACCACACACATAACGAATCCTGCTGGACGAAAAAAATTACATCCCGCAATGTAACTGCTTCTTGAAAATAAGCACTGAACTAACCCATAGTTAGGATAAGGACTACTTCAGCTCTCGCCTGCATAAATGGCGGTTTTGGATGATCTAGGTTTCCGATGAATTCTTTCTGTAATATCATAACAAAAGATCCGTTCCCTCTTTCAAACCTAAACGAGCGATCCAAAACAATAACCATTATATTTATCTGTAGCCTGGTTCTCCACTGAATCTGGCAGAATTTGGTTACTGTCTCAGAAGCAAATGAATGCAACCACCTCGCTGGTAATTATCTACACTACGCATGGGCCTTACACTCGTTAAATAATTACGCTGTGAAGGACAGTCACTATGGTCCATGTCAGACTTTATAACTGCACCGAATGGCAAAGTGATCGGCGCGACTAGTGCACTTCCGCGTTTTTTTTTGCGAATGGCACAATCTATTAATCGTCCATTCATTTTTGCCATTTGGGGCGCCACAATGGCCGATGTCAGACTTTGCGATTGGAGCGATTTTGCACCAATTGCAGGAGCGACGGGAGATTTACACCGCCGACCACCGATAATTCGGCGCCATCAGTTCGTAAATCTCCCGTCGCTCGCACTTTGGAGCGCCACAACGGCCAAGGCACATCACGGCCCGAGCGATGGATCGCTTGAGCGATCGTCGCTCCAAAGTGCGAGCGACGGGAGATTTACCACCCGACCATCGATAAGCTTGGCCGATGTCAGACTTTTGCGATTGGAGCGATTTTGCACCAATTGCAGGAGCGACGGATCGCTTGAGCGATGCGAGCGACGGGAGATTTACACCGCCGACCACCGATAATTCGGCGCCGCTCGGTTCGTAAATCTCCCGTCGCTCGCATCGCTCAAGCGATCCGTCGCTCCTGCAATTGGTGCAAAATCGCTCCAATCGCAAAGTCTGACATCGGCCTATCGCTGCATTATATGGACTGCGTCGATATGTCGTGTGGCGCTATGTGTGATACGACGGCCCGTCCGTTTAGAATGCAAGGCGTAAGAGAGTAAACCAGCCCCTAAAGGTGGGCTCATGCCATGGGCACTATTCCACTCTTACTGCTCCCAAAATCTCAAAATTTTATTTTTCGTCGAAACTTTGCCTATAAGGGTAATTCGATGCCCTGATTACGAATATGACATTCATTTTTGATGCTGGCGCCATTTGGCGCCACCTTGTCACGACGGCTGTTTTCACGAAATTTGGTGTAAACTTGTACATAGGGGTTATTTGGTGTCCTGATTACGAATATGACAATCGTTTTGGAATTGGCTGTTTAACGCATATTTTCTGCTCTCCTGGGCTCTCTCACTCACACATTTTGCTTAAGACTAACAATAAGCCTGTTGGAGAAGGAGGACTGCGAGGTGCAGCATGTGACAAAAGTTGAAGTGTGTGATAGCATGTGACAAAAGTTGAAGTGTGTGATATCAGGGTGAGTGGCTCACTCACCTCTGAGCCTCCTTTCCCCAAGGGCTTAGTCCTGATAGTGATCAACTCAGTGCGAGGGCGCAGACGAGCAGAAAATGGGCGCCAAATGGCGCCAGCATCAAAAATGAATGTCATATTCGTAATCAGGGCATCGAATTACCCCTATAGGCAAAGTTTCGACGAAAAATAAAATTTTGAGATTTTGGGGCAGTAATAGTGGAATAGTGCCATGTCATGACTGGGATAACGCTCCAAGGGTAAAGTACACCGATCAAGTATATCTCTGGCTACCACGTGGCGCTGCCGTGGTAGCTGGAGGAGATGGCAGAGGAGGTGGGAGGAAGGGGGGGGGGAGGGGTAATGAAAGAGGGAAGGAACTTGACCAATTTCGAGTTCAGTGTTGAGGCACCATTGTAAGATAATCACGACTGGATAAGAACGTTCACTGTACACGATGCTCCTTAGGTGCTAAGTGGGTTGGGGGGACCACGCGGCGGCGCGGCACTCTGCTCGACCTGGCAAGTTCACGAAATCCGTGAGCCAGGGGGAGTGTAGGCAGTCTAGGGGGTGGGGGGGGTGAGGGCAGTCACTTGACATGCGTGAAAAGCTGGAATGTTCGAGTTTACACTATCTCGCTCGAGAGAGCGCCAGTGGTCCCCCCCCCAACCCACATAGCACCGCTCCTTGTGTGTATACGCATCTTCTCCTCGAGTTGTGGAAGTCAAAAGAAAGCACAGCGCGGCGTTAAACATCACAGGGAAGGAGAGGTCAATGAGAAGAGCACGGGCACTTTACTGCAAAAATATGGTGTTTCAGGACAAATTCGGTGCTAACTTAGTTGGGGGGGGGGCACGCGGCGGCGCGGCAGTCTGCTCGCCTGGCATGTTCGGAAATCCGTGGGCCAGGGGGAGTGTAGGCAGTCTAGGGGGTGGGGGCAGTCACTTGACATGCGTGAAAAGCTGGAATGTTCGAGTTTACACTGTCTCGCTCGAGAGAGCCCAGGTGAGCAGACTGCCGCGCCGCCGCGTGGCCCCCCCCCAACTAAGTTAGCACCCAAAGGGCCTCGTTCCAACTGTTACAGAATAGATGGTCTAATCCCAATTCAACACAACAACAAAGGATATCGCCGAAACTATCGGTGACTGTGTAGTAAGTTCATGAATACAACAGTAATCAGATAGAAGGTCTAAGCAATGCAAAACAAGGGGACTGATCTAATCTTCTAAGGAACACACAACAACTTTTACGATACACAGCTTCACAGTGGCAACGTCAAACGGATTATACCGACCCGATGCGAGTGGAAACTTCAGGAATACGTAATTTGGACGTATACTACGCGATTACACACTATATCGCATAATCAACGACAAATCGTATTCACTGTGTGCCTTTGTTTGGGGATGACCTGTGTGAACTTTTAGTTTTCTTATCTTCGGTGGTGGAAGTAGCCTGACTTCTTAGTAAACTTAAGTTCACAATCATTGAACAAATTAGTGGTGGCGATGGGAGGGGCACTTGGGGAAATCCAAACACCGGGGTTTGCGTCTCCCGACGTGGCTGATTTACCTGAATACATCTGGCGCCATAAGGTATGTTTTCCCGAACAGGAGAGGATCCGATCTGGTAAGGTGTGCTCTCTCCGAAAGCTCTTGGAGGAAGACCACGCTCTTCGATTCCCGGGGATATCTCCCCGATTGACATCCAGTCGGAGAGATGGCCCGTAATTTACATGCAGTCGGGAAGACCCCCGAAGACCGGTGGCAGGTAGCGTGGCCTTTATCCCGAAAGCTTTCGAGGAGAGGGTACCTTACGGCTCCTGGTTTCTCTAATTTACACTTGTGCATAGTGTGATCTCTTCCTCTTTTCTCTGTTTCCTACTGGTTTTATAAGCGCCTTCGGTGTTAACATAGTTGGGGAAGGGGAGACGCAGCGGTGCGGCTCTCTGTCCTGTAGCTGTAGAGGCGCATTCATAGTCGGTCGTCCGATCGTCACGGTCGCACAGCATTGGATGCGTATCGATCGTCGGACAGGTCCGCGCATCGCGCAATGGAGGGCCGATACCTATCTGACACTGTGCAATCGTTATGATCGGACGACCAACTGTGTATGCGCTCTAAGGCATAGCCTAAGGGGCCGTTACTAGGTGTGACTTGGGGGGGGGGCAGTCGCCGCGCGCGCTTAGCGATGTAGAGTAAACTCGAACATTCTGGCTTCTCACGCATATTTAAGTGACTGCCCTCACCCCGAGCCCTCGCGCGGCGACTGCTCCCCCTTCCCGAGCTACATTGCGCCCCGTTGCTATTTTGCCGGCACAGTGCGCCCCGGAAGACGGGGAGGTGGAGGGGCAGTCTGTTGGATGACCACTAGGACTAAGCCTAACGGAGACGGACGATTTTCCGGAGGGATTAACTATTTACACACCTCTGATTTCCTCTTACCTCTAACAAGGGGGTCTTTCAGGGCAAGGTGCGCTTTTTCAAAACGGTTTTGTGCATATTGTAGGGACGCATGTAGGGAACGCAAAACCATGTTTCATTTTCGCTGAACGGTTATAGCAGTACCAAAAAAGCATAAGGTACTGTTAAGGGTTCGATCCCCGTGGCGACTAAATTTTGCATTTGGTTGGCGCCTACGGTTTGGTGCCAAATCGCGCTAAATATCAAAATCAGATGTCAAATTCATCGTCAGGACCATTTTGAAGCCAACAAGTGGCCGCCAACCTTGATTGCAAAATTTAGTCGCCGCGGGGATTGAACCATCAAGAGATTCAGTGTTTCAAATGTTCACACACTTGCAATTTTTGCGATCCGTCGCGTGAATCGCGTGAATCGCGCAAATCGCGAAAATCAGCGAAACCTGCGACGGATCGCGGACTCTGACACCAGCCTTAGATACGCATCGATCGCTCAGTTCGGGGCACGTCCTGCGATCGACACGCATCAAATTGGTGCGATCGTTACGGCCGGGCGACCGACTACATGCACCCTAAGGCTTAGTCCTAAAAGTGAGCGCTTTTGTGAATTTGATGCAATAGTACGGGTTGACCCCCTCCACTCCCACCGGAGCCACATTGCGCCATTTTCCCGCACATAACATAAAATAAATAATGAGCTGT